TAGTTGCTTAGTAACTGGGGGTTAGGCATGAAACCCATGTCAATTTTCACGTCAAACAGCGACTTGAAATATGAGTATGCAAAGCACTTTGAGTTTATGACTTGTTGAGTAACCAGGTCCTTTCATCACAAATGTTAATATTCGCGTCAAAAGACAAGTGATAGCTTAGGGAAGAATATGTTGTATGGCTGGAAAAAAAAAAAAAAAAAAGAAGAAAAAGACATCGAATGTTTCGTGGCCTTTGTTACTTGAGTAAGTATGCTCTTAGGGGTGTCTTTTCACCTAATGCCCTAAAGCCGACTGGTTTGGGAGTCATTGACAAAAACACTCGTTACATGGGTAACTTAGAAAGCCTAAGGAAACTCGACATATATAAAAAATAAAATAAAAAAGTAATAAGTGTTAAGGTGTGAAGGTCTAAACTTGAGACTTCTTACTATGAATCTCCACACACACACTAAGTGCTCATGAGCTAAGTTTTTTAACAAGTGGTGTGAAAAATAGGATAAGTATCTGACTTTAAGTGAGTATATGAAAACTCTTGCATATTTGAGACTTTGTATCTAATTGAACTTTAATTCCTACAATTTCTTTGCATGCATATCATATAGTTGAATTTCTGCACTAGGATTTTGTGGGTAGATCCACTGAAAACCCTCACAAGACACAACTCGTCCACTAGGGTGACCTAGGGGTTTAAAGGCTTGTTGCACATGCTAAGTGCAATCGTGATTTCTACGAAAGTGAGTTAGGTTTTATTTTATTTTATTTTATTTTTATTTTTTGCTCGAGGACTAGCAAAACTCAAGTTTGGGGGAATTTGATGAGTCTAAATTTCATACAATTATACATGGCTTTTCAGTCATGAATTGTAGTGTTTTATATTTTATTAGAACAATTTTATTTGGTTTTACATTACTTTTATCATTCTTTGTAAGTAGAGGGTAAAACTAAAGAAATTGAGAGTAAATGGGCTGAAGTGACAAAAATTGAAAACATCAAGTCTAATTCCATGATTTCCCCATTCAAAGACCAGAATTGAATTTGTCTTCTACATACACGTGGAAAAACATGGTGGGCTTTATCTTATTGTGGAGATAAGATGGGCTTAAAAGAAAAGAAAGGCGCGGAGTTTTCGCACATGGTTTTGATATAAAAAGGGGATTTTTGGAGGCAGAAGAGAGGAGACTACAGAGAAACCAGGGAGGCAGCCGGCAGAGAGCTTTGAGGTGAGTTTGAGGCAGAAGCTTGCGCAGATTCTGTGTGAGTGACGGCAGACGCAAGGGCAGCCGCTGGGGCACTTCAATTGAAAACAAAGGGAACAAGCACGACAGTGAAGGGCTACAGATCTGAGTTCCACAAATTGGGTTTTCGCTCTTCTAAACTTATTTTTCCTTTGTTTGGATATGGAATTGTGGTTCATCAATTTAATCTCAGATTTTATCATGTTTAGTATGAACTAATTTTGTTATCTAAGGTTACGATGTAGCCTAATCAATTTAACATAGAATTTCATGATTTTTATACTTTCAAGGATTATTATTTCATGTAGAGTATCTATTATTGTTCTTAATGCTTTTTAATGATTGGCCACCATTAAAACTGATTTGAAGAGCACAATTGAGACCGAGAGGAGATTTTATGCTATAGCTTTTAGTAATATATACCATGAATTGAACGAAAGCCAGAGATGGACCAACGTGATTTGTGTAGCATTAGTGATAAGTGGACTTAATTTTCTACGTAAACTAGGGAATTTCATAGAACATAATGCATCTTTATCTATTTAAATTCATATAGAGATATAGTGGGTTAATAGGTGAAGATAGGTTTGGTATAACTTGAGAAAGTATATCGAATAAATTAGGAAATCCCGCTGTCACATGAATAATAAATACCTTGAAAGTATATTGATCTAAATTCTATATTAGTTGATGATGGTGAAGTCGGATGCCTTAGACTTTTAATTCTTGGTGTTACTCAAAGTTAATTTAGTTTTTCTTTGACTAGTTTAGTGATTTAATTTATTCAAATCATTTAATTTCAATTGTTCAAATAAAATTAGAATTCATTAATTTTGGTACTGTCATAACTCAAATTTTTAATAGAATTTTATGTTTAACTACTATATTTGCCTTGTTTTTCTGATCAGGTTCATAATCAAAAAGGGAAATTTTGCGAAGAAGGGGGTGAAAGAAATTAAAACAAGGGACTCAATTGAAGAGATCAAAAGTTTGGGGGTGAAACCCTTGAAGCTATAAATCTTGCCCAAAACCCACCAAAACAAAACCCAAGCCCAAAACCCACCAAAACAAAACCCAAAACAAAACCCAAGACAAAACCCAAAACCCAAAAACCCGAACCCAAAAACAAAACCCAAAACCCAAAACCCAAAACCCAGACCCAAAACCCAGACCCAAAACCCATTTTACAAAAAAAGGGGGGAAATAAAAAATATATATATTTTGGAGCCTTCTTCCTCCTCCCCCGCCCCCGGTTTTCTCCTTTCCTTCTCTCCCCCAAAACCAGCCGGCAGCCACATGCCGGTCATCATGCCCCTACCACACCTACGCCCTGCCTTGCTCAGCCCAGACCCTCTGCACTGAACCAGCTTCCACCCTCCTCTGCATCAATCTCCAGCTCTGCGCGCCTGCTCTCTGCGCCCAATCCCTGCCCTGCACCGAGCCCTGCCTTGCACGCTTCTGCTCCCTCTCCTCTGCGCCTCACTGCCGGCCATCATGCTCCTGCACCAGATCCCGTGCCTTCCGCGCCTCACTGCCAGCAATGATGCCCCTACACGCCCGAGCCATCATCAGCACTCCACGCCCCTACCTGCCTTGCACCCGAGCCTTACTCCTGCGCTTGACCGTGCCTTCTGCTCCCAGATATCTCCTCTGCGCCCAGATTTCGTGCAATCATGCACTCCTGCACCCCCTGCACTCATTACCCCCTGTTTGCTTCCTGCTTCGCTGTGCCGATCTGCACTCATCACCCCGCTTCTTCCCCGAACCAATCGCCAGCCGATCCTGCACTCATTACCCGCCTGCGCCCCTGTTGCAGCCCGATCCTCTGTGCCGCTGCAACCCAATCTTGCAATCCGATCTTGTACCTGCTCTGATTGTCTGTTCTCCTTGTCTCGTTTTGCTGCAAGTGTGGGTATAAATAGAGGGTGTTCTTG